AATGGTGAGACCTGACGCAGAATGGTGAGACCTGACACAGAATGGTGAGACCTGACGCAGAATGGTGAGACCTGACGCAGAATGGTGAGACCTGACACAGAATGGTGAGACCTGACGCAGAATGGTGAGACCTGACACAGAATGGTGAGACCTGACACAGAATGATGCTAAATACTCTATTCTCTTGCCTGAAACTTTTTTAAAATTACATGCACTTAAATTTGCACAGCATGTTTCTGCTTCTTCATAGATCCGTCCAAATTCCCTCAGGTTGTAAATTGCTGTCAACATAAATGTACGTGTATGTTAAGTGTAATGTTCACTGTATAAGCGACACATTTATACCTTGCTCTGTACATGTATGTGTCTGGATGACTTTTTTTCTTGATTTTATAGAATGGAAAGCCCGGATATATCACAGGCAGAAATAAGCATCGGTCTCCGTCATGGGCAGACTCCGGAGATCTCTAAATTGGAGCCCTCTCATAGTGGACCTCCATCAGTTATAACCGAGGAGCATGCTGGAAACATTGACGTTAACTATGACGAGCCCATTCAGTTCCCTCTGGATGTGTCTTGTGACGGTCAAAACATGCCTGGTAGGGTGCCAGAGGGGACGGTAGATTCAGGCATGGGCTCAACCATCATGGAGTCCAGTGGACAGGTCCCCAACTCCAGGATAGTGATTGTCAGCGGGGATGGTACCAGTGTGGAGGAGGAGGAGATTGTCACTTTGCCAGTGGAGCCCATCAAACATCCACACCTCCTTCTGGTGGACCAGTTCGGTCGCCGGCGGTCGCACTCGTTCAATGAGGGGATCTTGCTGCAAAGGGACCGGACAGTGGAGAGCACCCTCAATGGGTTAGACCGTAGTGCCTTTGATGACGATCTGCCCCCAGTGGAGATGTCGCCCTCACTGCGTGAGGGGGGCCGACTAGGGGGCGCCGGTTATCGCCCTATGTCCCGGAGCATGTGCGAGCGGAACGATAAGTCCTCCAGTGGCAACCGGCCAGCTTCGGGGCAGCTGAACGTACCACTTCAGAGACGAGTCTTCCCCTCCCTGTCCTGCTCGCCCTATGCATCGCCAGTCGGCTCACCCAGGTTGCGCAGACCGCCCACGAAGGAATCCTCCCACATATCAATATCATCAGTACAGGTAAGTCCATGCAGAGTAAGGCACCCCCTGTCAGTCCAATGGCTTGCTTAAATCATACATGTACCATTCAAAGGAGGATCCAGAAGTGAATTTTTCGGTAGGTGAGGGAATCAAGTTATTTTTTATTGGGGAGACTCAGGATGTCTTTATGGCATTTTTGTAGCTTTCTTGCTTGTACCTGTAAGGCTTATTAATGTTTTTGATTTTAACACAAATTTGGGGGAAAATGGAAATGAGATGTACCTCAAATTGTCCTCATCACTTTTTAAGTGGCTTTGTTGGGGGGGGGGTGGTCTGATCTGGTTTATCCTGCCCCCGATCATCTGTCAGTGAGACTGTACACGTACGTGTACAGTGTAGGTACCAAGTTAAACCCAATGCTGTGCATCATGTTGGAGAGTCTACTTCAAACAAGATGAGGGTGTGAGTGGCAGAGAATCAGAGTGCAGTTCTGCAGCAGCATGCAGATGATATACATGTACTGCTATTTTGAATAACAGCAAAAAATTCCTTTTCACAATTTTAATGTGTGTTTGTGTACTGTACGTATAAGTGTACAGTCCAGTGTAAGTTCAGATAAGTAGAGACACACTGGAAGTTGATACTGCATTGAGTTTCGTGTACTCAGTCCCAGCCAACTGTAGTAATGAAAACTGGGCCTCTCTCTGCATTAAAAAGACCTCTTTCTTTTCTTTTGTGTACCTGTGTACATGTACATACCAATGTACTCAGTGGACCTACTGACCCTGCTCATGTCTCATAAAATCCTATGGCTCACAATTTCTGCAAGCTGCATGAACAATAAAGGCATCACTTGTCATAATGAAGCCCCCCAAGGCTGCCCTTTGGTGAAATGTGATTCGCTTGGCGGGGCTCAGGACGAGAAAATGGAGAGTTAGTGTACTCACCATGAAGCCTCACTATGTTTACCACTGAATGTACATAAAAGTTGCAGAACAGTCGTGTAATGATGTGCAATGGAGTTAAACTGTTAACGTTTGTAGAATCTTTGCAGGAGAAAGATGTAAAGTTTTGCACACCCTTCGTTAATATTACCTTGAAATTACATGTACATGTAAGAAACGGACAATTCAGAAGTCCAAATTGATCAATTTTAAAGGGTTTGTATCACTGAAGCCAGAAATCATCATCATGGTTTTTGTCTCATTAGTTGTTTATCGACCATTGAGATTCACGGCTTCCGAGCTACTCGTTGAGCTCCTCTTTCTTGAAGAGCATGCGCCGAACCTGCATTTTGTCCATTCTGACGTCGCATGCCAGAGACTTCAACGGGTCTCTTGCAAACTTGTGCTTGGAGCCTCTGTTTTTGCTCGTGGATTTTGGCATATGCACCACACGTGCCTTGTATTTGATGTGTTGCTTTAGGCTGAACTCACTGATATGGGTTGATTTGCAGATTTTCAGGATCTCATTGGCATTGTACTCGTAAGCAAACGTCCCCTCGCAATCTTCGACGACCTGTGAAATACACATTTTCATGTCAAAGTTGTACTGAAAAAAAGTTGCTGCCAAAGAGTAATTGACCGAGTTGTGAGGTTTGCACAGCAATGATGTAGAAATTAACGGAGGCCAAATTTACCTGCAGCCACATTTCATATTCGGAATAGACACATCTAAAGCCGTGTCCGAAACGGGCTTCCAGAGCTACGGCTGGGTCTATTGTCTACATGTCTCCACGCATTTCTAATGGAGTGAAGACCTAGACCTAGCTCTAGACAAGAGATTCAGATGCAGCCTGAGTCTTGAATGCTCATACCGGTATATATAGTGTAGATGTGTATTTTTCAAATTCACACTATGCCGATCCTGCCCACAGATGACCACATTTTAGTTTCCATTCATCATCCAGGGTTGCAGTCTCCTGAGCAATATTACAGAAGCACCGAGTTGAGAAAATATCCACTTCCCTGAATAATTCATTTTCATGATAGGGCCATATTTTGTACACTAATTGGCCCATTGGTGGGAAAAAGAGTCAAGTTAAAATTGATGGTGGCATCAGCTACCATTTCAAGAGGACAAGTTCTTCATGCATTTGTACGTGCAACTTTGTGCAGATGGAAATGGAACTGTATAAATATTTGAGGATGCTGACATTTTTGTCATAAATCATGCTGACATTTTCATCAGAGGTGATCTCCGCATTGATAAATTGTTCATGCCATGTGAAATTTTTTTAATGTCAAAACTGGAACGGGAAAGGGGGGGTGAAAGGCGGAGGCATTGTTCCTGTGAAAAATTAATTAACCACAACACTCCCCAAAGAGGACTTTTGTTAACTTGTTCTTCTAAAAAGCTCTGTCATGTTCAGACTCCAATATCATCACACATGTACATGTGTACATCAAATAAAGTGCTCACAGAGAAATTACTTGCACATGTGCTGGTGCTGTACTAGTCCCTGTGGTTTTTCCCAACCCCCCCCACCCAATTGAGAAAAGATTCAAACCTTCCATTTGCAAATCAAATGCAGGTGGATCGGATACATCTGCTTGAGGTAAAAACAAACAAGACATCAGAAGCCATAAATACTGCCCAAAGGGATTCCTGGCCATCTGAATTTATTCATAGCCCATGTGTAATTATTCTGCAACTGAGCAGCAGTTTCAGTGCACTGGTAATTGCTCTTTCGTGCCAACAGCAAATCACAAAGTAGGGATTTTGAAACGCCCAGGGAGATGGTCTCTCCAAACTGACACCAATTAGTCAGTTTTAGAGGGTGCTAAAGAATTTACTACATGCAGGTGTAAGTGAAGAATTTCCAACCAGTGTGGGTCCAACCACCACAAAAGTGGCAAAGACAAATTATGCAAAGGATCCAGTATCCTTACAATTTTTCCCTATATGGGTCTCTCCTTGAGGTTTGGTTATTATTTTATGACGCTGGAGCACAGTTGCACACACAGATGGAGTATGAGAGGTCCTAAGTGACTAAGTCATCATTCATTCATGTAATATTAGTTGTGATTCTGCTGATTCAAAATATTTCAGAGTATTGTGAAATTATTCAGCATGGCACATACTTATAAAAAAAAACTGGTGTAGCAGGTTTTTACATTTGTTAGACTTCATAAACTAAATTCTTTTAATGTGGAAAGGAAAGATTCTGCTAGGATTGCAACATTGTACTCGTTAACCATTTTCATTTGCACATGCACTCTGTACTGTATATCAGGTCACTGTATTCAGTGAGTAGGTTGTAGCATTTTTACATGTATATTCTACATTTTTTCAGGAAAGAGACAACATTTTATGTCTTTATACCATTTCTCCCCTTTAATACAGGATTATGTGCAATTGAACCAGTACCTTCTCTCTGATGAGATTGGCAAAGGCTCCTATGGAGTTGTCAAACTGGCTTACAATGAGGAAGATGATGTACACTATGTAAGTACTTCTTGGCTTCCATATGGTACCCCCTTGACTCTACTATCCTTGGTCCCTCCGGATGCGCCACCCTTCTCTCCCACTTGGTGTGTGAATTGAAGTTCTGTTTATTACAATTGGCCTTGGATTTCAGGGGCCAGTCTTTTCCTTGTGGCTGTATACCCTACATGTACTAATACCTGAAGGGTATTTTGAGTATAAAGTGCTCCTTTTGCTTGAGGGACGAGAAGTTACCTTTCTTAGTCCAAAATAAATTTCATTCATTCAGGTTGACCTTGGAAGAAATTTGGCTTTCATGAAGGATTTTTATCACAGTGCTGTAATCACCAAATTAACGGTACCAGTACTGCAAAAGTGTTACCAGTGCATACTTGTCTTCATACTTGATGTTTTCCTTAAGCTTCATATTGGCTGCACAGCCACAAACATTAGGCTCTTCATTTAAAACAAACTTCTCAACAATCAAATGCGGGTCCAACATTTTTTAACCCTTTCTGGTTGTTTCTTTCCACAGGCAATGAAGATTCTCTCCAAGAAGAAACTTGTACGGAAAGGCGGCTTTGCAAGTAAGAACGCTATCCATTGACATCCCCTATCCATGCACCAATCTCCCACCCCCGAAAAAAAAACAATATCAATGACATTAACCACTTACTGGTATCATCATTTGTCAAGATTTTTGCATGCATTTTTTTTTACCGTTTTCACTGTGGCAGAGCGACCTCCACCCAGGGGAGGCAAACCAGGCCAGGGGCCCAAGACCCCACTGGACAGAGTCTACCAAGAGATTGCCATCTTGAAGAAGCTGGACCATCCCAACATCGTCAAGCTTGTGGAGGTAGGTCACTCTTCAGCAAGAGCAGAGATTGTGGCAAGAAGTAAGGGGAAGAGAGGATATGGAGCGGAATTGAAAGCAGTTACTGTGGTCTGTGCCACACGTACATCCCCGGCCCCTTGGCCTCCTCGACTAAGAAAGTGTTGTGACTTGCTGAAATGCACACGTGCGACAAGTTCAGAAACATTATGAGTGTGATGCCTCTTTAATAATGGCTTTTCCTTGGGTAAAAAGAACCAAGAGGAGATGAAAGACAGAAGAGGCCAGCATCCAGTGCAGCATTGTACAGGCAATTTTAACGTCATCTTCTCAGCAGAAATGTCAGAATGTGGTCTTCCTCCCTCCTGCTTTCCCACTGCTCCAAGTTTGTGGAATTTTGTTTGGAAATTTGGTAGAAAAGAATCACCAAGTTGCAAATACTTCGAGATATTCTGTGCTCTGACGGAGATAACTGGATTTCATCACCTTCCCCCACTTGTAGATTCAAATTTACGTCCTTTCTCCCTAAATTTTACGTGTGTCTCAAGACCCATTATTCTTGCCTTGCTATGCTGCTTCACCAATCTGCCTCTGCTGAAGAATTGGCCATGATGACTTGACATATTGAGACATGATGTCGAGTCTCATTCTATTACAGTGTTGGCTTTCACCAACCCAAATGTCATCAGCTATTATTATCATTCCTGGCTAACCGGTGATGCCCCATCATCATTTGCTCAAAGTCAGACTGCCTTTTGGTCTTTTGGAATTGGCAAGCACCTCCGCGTAATTCTATAGCCTGACAGTGGCTTCAATTAAAACAAGCCCGGCTGCCCGATCTATCCAAACAGATTTATATTAATCAAAACACTTCATTTAGAATACTCCGGTACACCGGGGACATGACGTGTTTTGATAAACCACAAAGTGCAACCCTGTCCATTGGCTTGGACAGGCAATTGTACTTTTTTAAAACCAAGGGGGCATAGTTTGTGATGCAGTGTTACTGGAGCAACTGAAGTTGTTGTTTTGCTCAAACTTGAGGAAACTGATGCCAGAAACCAACCAAACCAGGGCATGATGGGGGGGTGTCTGGTGTGTTAACCACCCAAGACAACTTGGGAAACCAAAGTCGTTATTCAGCGGGGTCTGCTCACAAATCCATGCTTTGAAAAACATTGGATTAGCTGATAACATAAATATTTCCTGAGCTTATCCTATCTTTTTGCTTAAAGTAGCTTTATGAAATTTGCTTAGAGATTTTTCAGACTGCTTCCCATTCTAGTTTACAAACACCGGCTGGACGTGCAAATTCAAAAGAATTAAACGTATTTTAAAAGGAGCACTTTTCTGTTTCTAGGTATGAAATTTAACTACTAAGACAAATATCATGGAAATTGAGACTCTCGTGCTTACACAGGGCCAAAGAGGTGATGGATGCTGCTGATTATTTTTTCGACATGTTAAAAAAGTGTCTTAGGTTACCATCGATCACACACAGTGATTGGCGAATGGTTATCGCACGTCAGAATGAGCGTCTGAGAATGTCACGAATGCCATTTCTCATTCTGCTCTCGGCAAAAGCAGGTACGGTGACGATTAGATGAATCCGAGCAAGATTTATGGCGTGATCCTCTCTCGTTTTGTATTTTGTATAGAGGATTTTATTGAATAAAGGCCAATTATGGTCTGGTACTTTGCCAAAGAACCTCACAGATCTGTAATGAAGTATAAACTACATGTATGCAGGTAAAACAATAGAAATCATAAATGAGATGAAATACTTACAAGTAGATCAGCAAAAGTAACTCAAACTCCCTCCCTTGTCAGGATTTTTTCCTGCTTTTTTAGTGATACATGTATTTTAAAGATCATATTGAAAAGCAAATTTTAAAATGTGACACTGCACAGACATGTATGTATGTACATGTACATGTACTCTGCACTCTTTGAGTATTATGCTCCAGAACAGTTTGTGAAACTGCATTGTTTCACACCCTGAACTTGAGCCAGAACATTTCTCAGTCTCTACCAAAAAGTCTGGACCGCTTCATGTACCAAACTTCTGAGCAAAGGAAAAGATTTCACTTTTTGTGCCTTTTTTCAAACACTGTGTGCACACTTATCTGGTTCCTAATTCTCATTATGTTGTCACTTATCAAGTATTTGGCGTGTCTGTTTCCTTTGCTTACGTGTGCATGGATCTTTCTATAAATTCAGGATTCAAGACTGTGACATTTTTATGTACCTGTTACACCTGACCTGCTTACATATATGGTACAAGTAATTGACATGGAAATACCATTGGAATTAATTGCAAACTTTTTCTTTGTTCGGCAGTTAATTTGAATCACTTTATCCCTCTTAGAAATTAAAGGATGCATTCTAAACTTACAAAATCATATTGTCAGATGTGACAGGGACACACACTGTAATTGGAGCCCCATTTATAGAATGGGCCTCAAGTGAAGTAATTGTTAAAAATAAGAAAAGAAAGAAAGGAACGATCACCCAGCGACTGAATTTTCAGCTCGGGGGTATTTTTGTGTCTCTCTGGCATGTACGTGACAAGACTAGCCTCACAGGCTACAGCATAAACTGTTTCAACATGGAATGGCCATGCATTTTCTACCAGAGTAGAAAACGTCTTGGTTGAAGGCAAGTTAGGCAACCTTCTGTAGACAACTCTACAGATACACACTCCCCACAGCTCTGAACATTGACAAAAAAAGTGTTCAGTAGTCTTTAACATGATGATACATGTACATGCGCATGTACGGATACAATGGTACAATGTAGAATTGGCACTTCTGTCTTTAAAACTGGACAGGTCGAGAGGGGATTTTTTACCAAGTATTACAGCTGTTTTGGTACTCTACTGTCTATATTTGGCCTACTTCAGACATGAGGCATTTGTAAATTCCATTGTGGTTGTGATTTATACGTTGTTTTTGGCGGGATACAGTAGTTACATTCACACTTGCCGTTCCGCAGTCCTGTGTTTTCCGCCGGGCGTTGCGAGCACTGCGATGATAAATGATATCCCAGGAGCACTTAGTGCGCCAGCAAAAGTCTGTCTGGCACGTTCTTAACAGCGATCTGTTAATCAGGGAATTTTCTCAGTGAGATGTTGTTTTCCTCCTTTTTTGGAGGGGGGGATAGATGTATGCATTTACACTTTTTTTTGGAGTCAGTTCAGGTTGAATATGAGAGTTTTGTTTTTCTTTTTGGTTGATGTAACAGTACTTGTACGCTATGGCCTCTATGTTGCACCCTGTAACTTCTGCTCAACTGTGCACTCTTGTGTGTTTCATTTGGCCATCTGTTTATTGATATTTTCTGTCAATTTGCTGACTCTTCGGTTAGGTTGGTTCTCAGCCTTTGTTTACGCAACTTTGTCTTTGCATGTCAGTATTTCTGCAGAAATTGCTTCAAAAATTACCCCCAAAAACAAAGTGTTCCATTCATCTGAATAATAAACCAAAATCCAGACTATTTGTTGTATAGTTAAACACTGTGATGTAGTCAGAAATCAGTTTCCTTTAACCTGTCCTCTGTGGGAACCCCCAAAACACTCCATCATTTGTAAAGTTTACATTTAAATGAAAGCCTGTTTTTCTTTCTGGAAAAATACACAAAATGGAAGAGCTGTCATGCCTGTCAACATACCACAAAGTCAATTATTCTTATCGCTCGTATTAAAAGGGCGACATTTTATGCCCCATTAACATGAGCGTCACAATTTAGCTTGAGTGGTGATCAATTTGGTAGCCTCGAAAATGTAAATTCCAAGAAAACCATCCAGTATAAAGGCGCTGGTCAATTAATCATTTCCTTGTCTGTTAGAAAAATCAATGGCCAAAAAAGGGACATCCCTCAGATAACTGGGGCACAGAAAGACAAGTTTCAGAAAGAATGCTCTTGAAGATTTGCATGTGATACTAAGAGAATCATTCCAATTTAAAATAACGAAAATTCTTTGCTGCTTTACATGTAGATGTACATGTGTGCTACTTGCTGACTTCACATCAGCCAGTCATTTGGTTGGATCAGTTTGCTTGTACCAACCCTTCCTTTTCAATTAACTGCCACAGCAATCACCTTCCAGAACCCTGGCATGAGGAGATCCATTAAATAATTAAGCCATTGTAGGCTGGGCTAACAACACTGCAAATTGCCAGTCCTAGGCTGGCCTTCAACAGCTATATCAGTCTCATCCTGTGAATCTCATTAGAGCTGTATTATAATATCCCAGGCTTTATAACCTGTTTGTGTGTATGCGTTTGTGTGTCATCCAGTTGTGAAATGCAGTCATCTTTTGTTTTCACTTTCATTGTTTGCTTTTCCTAGTTTATTTGCATGTTAGAAGAGCACTGTTTGTGTAAGGAAATTTGAGACTGGTGATGCTCTTGTCTGTTGGATATGTCATCGCAGTGTATCAACTTCTTCAGTGAGGAAGCTTGTTACAAGAAGTTGGCTAACACCAAAAAATACAAAAGAATTCCTGGTTTGAATGATTTTCCAGGTGAAGTAGCAACTCGTGGTCTCGTGACAATCCATAAAAGGCGAAACATCTTACACAAGAAAAACATGTTACTTTTTATTGAAATGTACATGTACTTGAGGTAGTAACACAAAGAAAACTTTTTCAAATCAGTTAGGACACCTAAGCAAACTACACGATCAGTAGCAAAGCAAATTAACCCACATAGAAAGTAAAACTACATTAATAAAAACAGATACATGTATGTGGAATAAATAAACAAATGAAACAGACAAATACAACTGCAATAAATTAACAGCAAAGAGACATACTCTTGACAAAGCAATTACTGAAGTGAGTCAAACTTGACATAGAATTACATCCAATCATAGGTATCTCACCCTAACCCACCCAACCCCCACCACCACATCAAAAAAGTGGCACACACCCTCTCCAAACAAATTTTATTTCTTATAAATTGCGAATGGCATTTTGTAAGCCTTCCTGAAATTTTAAACATGTCAAATTGAATAAAAGAAACAAAATAAATTTCATAATTGAAACTTTAAGTCCACAAAAAGTAATTGCCACTCCCCTCAGAAAGGGAAAAAAAGGCAAAAACCAGCTTGTTATATATGGTTCTGAAGCGCACTTGGATTCTTACTGCCTGATGTTGAAGCACCGAGCTCGTCATATTTCAACCGAGTTTAATGATTGATGGCAATCCAGCTTAATGATGACTCTGGTTGTTTCATGCTGATCAGATTTCTGTCATTTTCCCCAAAGAATATCCCGACTTCTGTGCCCTCAAGCCTTAATTTTTTTGTATTCTATCTACTATCTTCTCAGAGGTTCTTCGGGTAGTATGTAAGTATTGTGCACGAGAAAAATATATCGGAGTCTGTTGAGAACATGGCGTGAAAAACAAGAATCCTTTCGGTTCTTGTTCACGTGAATGGAGGATTGGATTGCACAATTTTTTGTTCAGAATTGACATTTCCGGTGAATTGCCTGGCAGAGAAGTACAATTATGATTTGAAAAAGGGCTCAGCGTATCTCATCCTGTTTTGTGGGATGATCATCTGACACGCTTTGTTTATTGTCAGTATTTGAACAACTACTATGTTGGAACTTTTGGGAACAATATTTATGAACGACCAGGGTAATTCATTTATGAAACATATACTTGGCTTTTTATATGGCAACTCCTGCCTTGATTTGAGGTACCAGTAGAAAACCAAATATTAAGTGGCCTTCCTTTTCATTTTTTATCATGATTTTGTCAGGTGTTGAACGACCCAGCTGAAGACAATTTGTACATGGTTTTTGAACTTGTTGAGAAGGGGTAAGTACCTGTAGTATCTTTTAATTGAATAGCTCAGGCTCTTGACAAAACAAAGTTTTCAGTGCACCATTTGGTTACAGTTTTGCCACATACATGTACTGCTTTTAAACTGAATATTTCTCATTTCCCATCTGATAGCAGACAGAGCCAGCAAAATCTGGCAGAGTGATTGTTTTTTCACATGAGCTGGTCCCGTGATATTCTCCAGATTTCTTGATTAGATTAAAATTGGCAGGCTTATTAGACCCTCATGTTGCAATGAGACGCAGTAAAATTAGAGGAAATGTGTTCCAGATTTCTCGGATAATGCTGTTTTTATTTTCCCCCCTTTGGTTTACCTCGGCAGAGCTGTAATGGAAGTGCCTACCAACAACCCCTTGAGCGAAGAGCTAGCCTGGACTTACTTCAGGGACATCATCCTTGGCATTGAATACTGTGAGTAAACAGTTTAGATATACATTGTACCAGCGGCTCAGGCTATCATGCAATCATTATTTGTTGTGTGGTGGTTATCTCAAGTGCATGAAAGAAATGTTAAAATGTAGCTTAGGTGTACAGCAGCAATGTAGATTGAGGCTGCTGACGGCACAGACCAGAATTAGCCAGAACAGAAGTCAGGGCATATGCTTGAGACAGGCATTGTAGTTACATGTAGATATACAGAATAGCTGTTTTTGAACAGCCTATGAAAATCTGAAAGCATGTAGAATTGGAACATGTGATTTAAAGATGGAGTCTGAATAAAAGTTAACAGGTTGTGAGTGTCATTTCATATGACGTGCACCAGAGAAAAGTTGTGACAATGTTTGTCCCCCTTACTTGATGCTGCTTTGGGCATACTGCAGTGTTGGTTGAGAGAGTGCAGTCAAGAAAGTATCAAAATCATTTTAGGTCTGCTCAGAATGGACTAATGCTGTGAAGGATGAAGGGCACAGCTTACACAGACAGAGGGAGAGGTATTTGAGATGATGTGCTTGAGTGCACAGCAGATGTCAAGTGCTCTAACTGATAACGTCCAGGTTTGGAAGATTGCCCCCAAACGCTGCATTATGAATCTAGAATGGTCGGTTTTACGCGTGGCTGAGCACCGAGTCTCATCTGTCTGTCTCTTGGGTCTCAGTGCCCTTATGATGTAGTGTCTCCACAGCCAGTTTGAATATCATTTAGGTCTGACAAATAAAAATCATATACTGTACATATTTGATGGCATGCTCGGGATTTCTCATGTTGTCCTAGATTAATTGCTTTGAGGTAGTTATCAAGTGGCGTGGAAGTGACGCTGTATTTGTGGCTTGCAGGGCAAATTATTCGGCTTTTTTTCAATAGGTTTCTGCTTCATTCTTTACTCACACACTACTGTATGTATTTGGTTGAAAGAGAGATTGACAAACACATTCCCCATTTCTGAAAGTCCATATGGACTCGCCGTGTACATGTACCTGTGGGGACTACATACATGTATGTATTGAAACATTGATGTTATGAGGACCAAAAACACTATTGGGATGAATTTTTGTCACACATTTTCAACTTTCCTTACAAACAAAATTCTCCCCTCGGTGAGGCAAAGGCCTTGACACCTGGTTTGCACATGTACCCCATCTTACGAGTGCTTCATGTGGATACTGGACATTGTCGTAACCAATATTTGATTGGATGTTAACATGCAGCGTAAAAACCGTCCACAACTCAAGATGCGTGACAAAACTTTGCCCAGTATGAGTTTGTCCTGGAACTCCATATAAGCTGATAGGGGCAGGGCTGTTGATACCAAAATGTGTCAATATTGGCCCTGTCTCTGCACATATAATAAGCACGCATGGGGTGGTTCAAAGTCTGTGTTGATTTGCTCGCTTGAAATCCTTATCTGCCCCTACCGATAAGCAGCAGCACAGTCAATATTTTGACTGCTGTTTTTCCAAGCAGGGTCTTGAATACAGTAATCAAATTCATTTGGGGGATAGAATTTTCCAGCAAAATATTTGCCGGAGGTAGCCCCCAGTGTTTTCGTAGGGACTGAGCCAGATAAGAGAATGTAGGGCAGGCGTGTAAAAGGGTGTAAAATTCACAGGTTGCTGAAAAGTACGAACAGGAAATAGATCAAGTTGGCACAGAAAGCCGCCGTCATTGAGTGTATAATCAAGCGACCTTATGATAACTGGTTACCAGATTTCTTAGATATAATTTAAAACTGATGTGTTTTCCTGAGAAAAAGAATTGACTAATTTGCGGGCCAGTGTTCAAAGTTGTTTAGTGTGGTGGCACCTTGTGCGCAGGTGATTTGCAGGCATTACATATCTCTTCGACCAATAGGGCATTGGGTCTTGTCAGAGTGCGTTCAGAGTGCGATGCCACCACACTGATGACATTTTGAATGTGTTTATAACAAACACAAACCTCAAAATTGTTCTCAAGTTTTACCTTTGACTAGTTGAGCAACACACACGCCTGGTATTGCAAAAATGGAAACATAGAAATTGCTGCTCTCTTACAAATAAAAAGATAACAATTTGAAGCAAAAACTGAGGTTCAGTGACCTCTTCGCTCCGAAACTCCATGTGAACAATTTCCAACTGAATGTGCATGTATATCCCTTTTTTCATACCCAGTACATTATCAGAAAATTGTTCATCGTGATATCAAGCCATCCAACCTGCTACTAGGCGAGGACAACCACTTAAAGGTACACACGACAGCTTCTCTCTCATGTCACACTTTCCTTGTATTCAGCAAGGCTAAATATCAGAATAAAAGGAAACAGAGTGTTGTGATGTCTTGAAACTTGTAAAGACTAGTATTAAAAGTAGGAGGTCCTGGGTTTGAACTGCAAGTGATTTGATTTCTCTGTTGAAGATTTTCAAAAAGTATCGAGCAAAAGGGAAATTCCTTCAAACTTTCCAGCTCTGACTAAAGTTACTGTGCTAATACCAAGACACAACTGTGCGACATCTGCCTCCAGATAATCCTTTAAAAATCAAAATCTGAGGTGTTTTTTTTTTCTTTCTTTCTCTTTCTTTTTCGCCAGATTGCAGATTTTGGCGTCAGTGACCGCTTTGAAGGCATTGATGCCCTGTTATCTGACACAGTGGGTACGCCAGCATTTATGGCCCCAGAGACCTTACACGAAGACTCCAACAAGTATGGTGGTAGAGCCTTAGACGTCTGGGCCATTGGAATCACTCTCTACTGCTTCATCTTTGGTCATGTACGAGTTATCTCAAACTCTGGTTGTTTAGATCAAAGTCTACAAATGCCCCACATTCCCCCACCATGATAATGACTCCTCCCCTTTCCAACTCTGCAAAACTAAAATTCCATCTGTCATACCCCAACCTGTTTTTTGGTGGTGTTCTTTTGCCACCCAATTTTTCCCAAGCCCTTTATTTAACAAGATTGACTATTTTTTTCAGTTGTGAAGATGATTTTTGACAGAAATGTGTTTGATATTGAAACTTATTTTTCATGTAGCTTGCAGTTCACGTTTTCTTCCATATTTTATTTCAAACACCTGTAAGCCAAGAAGTTTTATATGAGATAAAACTGGGGTTTATCCATTTATTTAGTTAGTATCCTTTTTGTAGATACACCTTAAGGTTTTTTTTTTCAAGAACTCATTTCTGCTACCAAAACCATTGATTTTCTATACTACCCCGTGCTCATTACAAGTTGTTTTGAGGCTGTTGCTTCAAAACAAAACAGCCTTAGCTGTCCTAACTTAATTCTGTACCTGAATGATTGCAACGGGATTATTACAGCAAGGTGATGAAGCCATGAGGAAACTGGCAAAACCCAATCGGACATTCTCCATCTGTCCTTGAGTTCTTTTTGTAATAACATGATTAGGCTGGCCTCATCAGTACTCAGGGCCCCCAAGATATCCCGTGGGAGGTTTGGCCCACAAGTAGAAGGAAAGGGCTTCAACATTTATATGTAGAATGCTTGACTTGGCTCAGTGAGTGTGCTGAGAGCGTAACAGAGCAACGAGTCAGGCTCATTACAGTGTGAAATCATTTTCCAAGAGCAGATACTAGTGTGGCCTTGTTTGTGTTTTGGGCCGGCCTGTGGGAACAAATGTAATGGTTGAAAGAAAGATGCCAGTCAAGGTTGCTGTAGAGACTCCCTTGGGTGTGAGAAGCCAGTTAACTGCAGAGCCTGTATTGACATTGTTTCTCGCAAACATCTGTTAATGAGAATGAGAAAAAATTCTTACCTCACAGAAAAAGTGTTAAAATGAGGGGGAAAAAATCATGCTTGAAGCAATATATTCTTGGCCAGAAATATGTCCTTGAAATTGTGACAGGCTTTTGTTGAAACAAGAATAACGTGGAAGAAATGTTGGCATTGCAGGGAAGTTGGCTCAAAACAGATGTTACGATAAAGCTGATGTTGAGATATGCATGTATGATCTTAAGGTCATTGTGATTTATTTAATTTATTTCCACTCTTCTATCCCCCCCCCTTTTTTTTTATAAAGGTGCCATTCCAGGATGACTTTATTCTCGGCCTCCATGCCAAGATCAGGAATTTACCATTGCCTTTTCCGGAAGAGTAAGTTTGATTTTTCAGCACTTTCTCTGGAATACGTCTTGCTGGTCATTTTAAAGGGAAGAACTTTTTGTTCTGCATAGTTTTGGTTGACACATGTGATTTGATGGGTTTCAGTTTGGCCCCGTGACTTCGTGGACTCATTTCAAGTGCTCGAGTTTCTAGTGCTTCGTAAACAGATGGGCTTTTGGTTTCGATGACCGCAACTGAATGGAAATGAAATGCCATAGTATGCAATTTTACCTGCAAGGTATTGCATTATCATTTAAATGTGGGGGAAAAATGGAAGTAAATAAACAAGGAGATTTTTTTATACACTGTTGTAGATCATGTATTCTTTTACAGGGATGTGCTCGCTTTGCCATGACCTCTTTTTCTTCCAAGTGATTTTTGGGGGGGGTTAATGAAAAGTCTTTTTGTAAATAGTTATAAAATAATAGAGTACTTTGAACTGATTGGAGGCTCTAGACTTTTAGCCAAGTTTCAGCTTTGTGAAAAATTGTCAATTCTCCAGCCTTTTCCAAAATCAGTAAATATCAAATGCCCTCTACTGGGAGATAGCATTGAGGCCAATGTACTCTGCACTGGCTTGTGTTACATGTACGTGTGGAGACACACCAAGCCCAGCATCTGTACAAGCAGTGTATCCCCTGACCACGTGCTGATGCTGTCTACACGCACTTCCGTCAGTCTGGTCCAACCGTCCCCCTCCTTTCCCAATCTCATCATCCCCAGGAGTAAATAGTAACGGAAATGTCAGGCAGAATTAGCCGCTTCTTTGTGTTTACACACGGCCTTCATTATGGAAGTCTGCCTCGCCTGGATGGGTGATTGTTTTCGTCTGCGCGGAGGGAAAATGGCAGGCAAACAGTGGTTGACTAAATTACGATTCAGGCGATTTAATTATTGCAAGGAGGCCGTATGCACTGTTGTTACAGAACAAGAACTTGTAGCGTTGGCCCATGCTCTAGAACCTGCTGTTCAGTGTTTTTTGGAAATGTCACAGCTGTGCAGCAAATTTGTTTCACTGGTGAGACTGTTGTAAGACCGCTCTCAATCCAAAAACTTTATCACCTGAATATGTGACCTCCTGATTGCGAATATTCATTTAAGTAAAATGAAATATAAGCTGACAAATCACTTCCCCCCCCCTGCTGAAGGGATTAAGAGGGACAATACACGTAGACTGCCCCTGTTACAGTTAATTTGAATAGCTTTTGACTTGATATGGTTAGTGCCCTTCATTTGCATAATTTGACATAAATTTGTGTCTCTGTGGTTTTGCATTGCAGCAAACCAATACCAGACAACTTGAAGGATCTTATATTGAAGATGCTAGAGAAGGATCCAGACAAGAGGATCAAAATCCCTGAAATAAAGGTGAGGATGAAATGGCCTTTACACTGTGGCTGATACTTCCATTGTATATGTCAATTTAAAAAGAGTTGTTTGGTTGGTTATCCCCCTTGAGCAGAAGCACCCCCTCATTGGTTGGAAAGAGCCAGGTGGGTCAGAAGTGTTCATTTTGTTTGTAGCGATGCGACTGTAACACATGCATTTCCTAGTCGTTTTTGAACCAGCAAAGTTCAGTTCTGACCAAAGGAGCCTCCGTTGCTAAGAAAATTGTGCCCTCGATCGATCCAGCTCAGGGGCTCATCGTGCAATAGTACAGTTTGACTAATACAGTAATTTTCCTTCCAAAACTGTTGAATGGCTTGTAGCTGCTGTCAGATGTTCTATGAGAAATATTGATATTTCTAGATCCAAATGTAGTAAATAACAAAATCTGGAATGGGTCATTGGCATGTTCTTCCCAGGGCATCTGGAGAGTCTAATGAGGCATGTACAATGTTGTGGGAATAAAAGCCATAAACTTGGCACACACAAGTTGTAGAATGGTCACTGTTTCACCATGGAAGTAAGTAATCACTGGTGTTTAACCCCATTTCAGTTGCATCCATGGGTGACCAGACTTGGCGAGGAACCCCTGCCCACAGAAGAGGAGAATTGCACCCTGGTGGAAGTGTCGCAGGATGAGGTAGACACCTGTGTCACGACACTGCCCAAACTCAGGACCCTGGTAAGTGCTAAATGTCACCAGCTTCACACATCAGGGAACCAGTGAAGTTTGTCATGCAGGAACCCTATTTTGCACCTTGATGTGTACAAAACTTGTGTTTATATTTCAAAAAAATAAGGGTTTTATGACCAGATGAATTGTGGGAAATGCCCTTTGGTATCTTCCTTGAGGGATTTGTGAGGTGGGAACCTGTCCTGGATAGTTCCTAGGATCTTAGTCAAATGCCCATGTGAGTCTCATGGATTTCAGTCAAACCCAGACAGTCATGTAAACTTGAACTGTCCCAAAATGACATTACCGTGTACACAATCTGAATACTTCTCTCTGGTAACAAGTAAAAATCAGCATGACTGGGATTGGATTAGTGACACGTCGTTTCCTTGACGTGCCCAACTTGCTTATGTTTGCCTTATGCTTGAACTAAGTTTGTACATTCAGCAGGTCCCGTCTGTAGCAGTCATTACATTTACATGTAACATTTCTGAAGTTACTTCGGTGTGACAAATAGAGGGTATCCATTCACCCTTAACCCCCCCCACCAACCTTAATTTGTGCTGCTGCCTTGATGAACCCAGGGACATCCAACCGCTGTAATATGTGAAGTGTGCGGAGCCCAGCATGCAAGAGCAAGAAAACTTTGTTGAATCCTGTCGGGTTCAGTGTGGTTAGGGTTAGGGTTTGTTTATGGACATCTCTGAACTACTTTGGATGTAAATTTTTGGCATCGTTTGTTGATACTTGTAGATTCTAGTCAAGAACATGTTGAAGACCAAGTCTTTCGGCAATCCGTACAAGAAGAAATCCCGGCATAACAGTGCCAAGGGTGGGCGTGTCCTGCTGGAACCCATATCACCCAATCAGCAACCAAACAGGTCAGTCTGGTCTCGGTGTCAGCCAGAGGCTTTAAAAAATGGAGAATTCCAGATAGGATATTTTTAAAGATGCCTGTGTATGAGTTTCTTTATATGAATGTTGTTTCACATTTTGTGTACAAAAACTTTGTGTATTTGTGAAATATCTTTACGGTACTTTGACTGCTTTGAAGTATAACTGCCAATCAATCACTTGCCAGCTGTTCCTCAATGAATTTGTCCCAGGTGCGATATTATTTGTGGTCAAAATAGTGGCTTTTTAAGACAACAGGATAGCGTACCATGGATTTCCATTTTCCGCATTTTGTGAATTTTACATGACACAAAGTTGGCAAACAAGTTGCAAGTTGGGAGATTGACTCTGGTATACCCCCCAAAGAAAATGCCTTTGCTACGCCCCAAGGTAAATGCCCATATCTTTTAAGTGTCATCTACATCTGGCATGAAATGGTCAAATACATGTAGGTGTTGCCACATAAAGATTGAATGAGTGAAATCTACCTCCGGTTTTATTTTGTAGGTTGTCGTCTGCTTTGCCATGACTAGACATGGACGTCATACTTCCTGATACCCCTTATTTATGCATGATTGTTGGCTCCTCGTGGATGGCAACTGAATTCACGTTGACAGAGTGCTCTGTGATAGATTCTCTTGTGCAATCCCAGGGGAATTAAGATGTTGAGCATTACCATGGCAACTGCACACCAGGCCTCACCACTGTAGCTATTACAACTGGGCCGTGACGCGCTCGCCATAAAAACGTGCATATCTGACCAGACATAATTTCATAGAGTTGCTGGACACTTAAGCTCTTACATTTGATACAGTGTTGACTATGCCGCACATTATTATACAGCAATACAGAATCTTGTGAGGGTGTAGTAAAGCAGAAATGCAAAGCGACGATTCTTGCTTGAAATGCTTATTTCTGAAGCCGTGCCGTAAAATGGAACAGTGAAAGGTCTCACCTTGGTGTAACTCTGGACGCGTCAGCTGGTGATGTATATCGGGAGTGTGACCAGGCAAAGTTGCTGAATTCAGCCAGAGGGAGTTGGACCAAACAAAAGGACGGCACAAGAAAAATTGCCTCTCTGCATCGTGATAGGTGTAATTAATATTTATGTATGGTGTTCCATCATGGGGCTTGACACCCCCCACTAAAATCATCAAGTGCCTGTTTGTTTTGATGGGAAGTGAATCAAATGTGTTTTACTCAAATTGCCTATTTTTGTATTGAAAAGAAAGGAACAAAATGTGTCAGAACAGAGTGAGAGGTCAAATGTAACATTCCTTTTATTCCATAAAATGATCGTCATTAAGCAAAGAACAAAGCTTGTACATGTAGTATACCAAACGAGATACTTGCATTCTCATCGCAATCATATCAACACCTGATGTGGTTAGAATTGTTCAGTTTTATTTTCCATTCAGCATTTGTACAGTGGGTCATTCTATAAATTCAGGATTTAAAAGTGTGACATTTTTGTATCCCTGTTACACCTGACCTGTGTAATTTGACCTGGAAATATCACTGAAATTACTATCAAACTATTTCTGTTTGTTCAGCAGGTACTTTTCATCAATTCATCACTCTTAGAAATCTTGGAAATGTGTTCTGAACTTACAAAATCACATTAGATGTGACCGGGACACACATCAAATTGGACCTCTAATTTATAGGATGACCCCAGTGTCTCAAGATATTCATATACAAGAACCATTTATTCTTGACCAAAATATGTACATGTATATATAAAGAAAAATTGTATCAAACATTAACTTTCAGTATGTCAACGGTAAACAATAAAACTGCAAAAGGAATTTTAAAAACATTTAAGATTTAGCAATGTTGAGATGAGACAAGATACCAAAACTTTCTGAAATTATCTTTTGAAAAATTGTCTTTGGCAAGTATTATGATTGTCTCATTTTTTGTGTGTGAAAATAACTCCCGTCCCCTTTAAAAAAAACCTCAGTGCTTCTGCTTCGAGATGACAATATGAAATGTATTCCTAAATGGAATCATTTCGATAGACTTGTTAACCACTGCCTACTGGGTGGATTTCTCATGATTAGGATGTGATGGTGGGACCTTTTCAATGTTTTCCGTTTTCAAAATTCTTCAAAAATTTATGTGTTCATTTACTGGACGTTTACACCCACACGAAAGACTCTCTGGTGGCTACTTTAGTCTGTCAGGCAACCTTCATTGATACCTGAGTATTCAGCCCAGGCCTGCAGCCCTGAAAAAAGAGAGCCCAGAATTGTTTGGTGTTGCATAATTTCCTTGGTTCCAGTGAATGCCAGTTGCATCTTTTCATACACAGCTGGATAAGTGAGCAGCGGCGCTGTGTCGCTAATCAATGGGGCCTTGGAGCACTTTTGTCCGCGGTGCTAATCCACAGGTGCGTTATGCCCAAAGCAGTGGTATACCGTTTCAAAACAGTGCCGGATTACCCTCGAAAAATGGAAGGCGAAAAATGATGGCAATTCCCAGCAGTAGGTCCTTTGTTCCGAGTACAGTCTTTTGTTACACACACCAGCTCTTTTGTCCGAAACCGGGCACCCCAGCTCTGCGTAAAACCCACGGTGCCCAAACCGGGCTCCTCAGCAGGAAGTGGTTAAGACAGTAAAATGTCCAAATGGCATGACATGCCTTCCTGGGAGGGGGGAGGAGGTTCTTTAAAATTGATATCCTGATGCTTTACATTTTGTTTGTATCAACAACAAAATGAAACTGAACTCCATTAATCACTATGCGCAGTATCAAGTGCTCGTTATGTATTGCATTTATCTTATTGTACTGTGACCATCTAATTCTTCAAAAGGGAAGCAAATCATTAGGGATGTCACCAGAGCATAGACTTGGTTGTGAAGTTTGATACAGGGGGAAGCAAGGAGTAGCATTTCCATTAAGTGGATATCATCCCTCTGGATCGCATCCTTAATGGTATTGGATGGCCCAATTCACTTTGTAGGAATATCTGACTTCTTGTAAGGCACACGATAGATAAATGTATTTAGTTTTCTTGAATTCTTATTTGATGTGTTCAAAATAATCACTACAAGACGGCTGCAAATTTAAGCTAATTTATTCAGTTTTGTGCATTACTGCTAAAGAAAGGAAGTTTTCATGCTTGCAAAGTTAGCGTGAACTCATTGACAGTGTTACGTTTTATAATTTGAAAACTGAAATGGCGATGGAGAGGTTTACTTTAAGCCATTTTCATGCTTTTTTTCTAATTTCCTTCAGAACCAAAAATACATTGCAATTTTTGTTGCGCTTTTGAGATTAAAATGATTTGAGCATCTGTTATAAATACGCTTATTGTTCTGGCCAGTGTTTTGCAAATTTTGATTTTTCTCATTTCAAAGGTATTCCTTTAATGCAGAAAGAATAGGGAAGTCTCCTTTGAGAGCACAGATTTGGTTGTTATTTATTCTCTGCTTACTGTCCTTTGTATTCAGACCATTGATGTATCTGCAGTGAGAAGAGACTACATGTATGTTTGATCCGTGAATATCATTGAAATTAAACGGGGAACCATATAGCCAGTCTTTGAAGAACCCAAATACAACCATTTGTAATCCAAACAGGTTCAGCTATACCCCGGGGAACCAATACATGTATGTGTATCCATTTGTAGTTTAACTTTGGAGACCTACTTAATGATATTGGGATGCTGAATCCCACACAAACAGCTCCCCACGGTTCAATTTCAGCATCCCAACCAAACATACAGTCTAGGGGGTGACGTTTTATGCAGCCTCATTCCAACACCTTATGATCAAGTATGTCCGCTTGAATGACCAACTGCATTCAGAATGTACAGTTATTTTACTCTCTTTGAAAGACCAAAATGAGTGTCATTTTATGTACAGAATATTTTCTCTTTTATTCATTTTCATCCTTACTCAAGGAAAAAAAAGCTTTGGTCGCCAACATCACTTTATAAAGTCCAGAGTGCATATATTGCCTTGTCTTTCTATGGTAATGGCAAACTTGGAGTTATGTTATAAATCGTTTGTGGAAAATGTCAATTATAAGATTATGTTGGTCATTTATACTGACCATGATGTATTGTCAGGTGTTACCTGCCTCATGTACGGAGTTGGTACTTATATTGGTAAGAAAAAAAATGGAACGGGATGAAAACTGCATCTGAACCAGCTAGCAATGAGAGATGTTTAAGGCGTTGCTTTTGGCCGACTGTTGAGCAAGCATACATATGTAGTTCCGAGTATGCACACGTAGTTCTCAGCATGCGCGCATAGTTCTGAGCATGTGCACATAGCTCTGAGCATGCACAAAACTGTCACAAAGGACCGGTGCAGTGCTGCTGGCACCAGCGTCTCCATGTCTCCCATTGTCACAGGTTCATACCTTACCTACTGTTCCTTTTTTACTCAATCTTCTAAATTGTGTGCCATGTCTGGTGCTGCCGGCAGTTAACAGAAGTAATTCACACACCTTTTTGAGTCGAGATCAGTTGGAATTGGACCAAACTATTATTGACTGACAAATATTTATTCAAGTGAACAGAAATTGAGATTTGGTATGTACATGTACATACATGTAAGAAGGATGTTTAATATTGATATGTTGATCATGTAGATACTCAGTTGCTAGTGAGCGCCAATCATTGATTTATCAACTCGTAAAACAAAGTGCATGCATTTAGGTTCATCTGCTGGAAAATTCCATGATTAATACAAGGTACATCTCAGTTTCCAAACGTAGGACTGGTGCCATGTGCGTTACCATCGGGTAACTCCTTTTTGGTGGGGAATTTATATTTTCATTTTTTTTAACTCATTTTTCAATAATTGTGCATTTCCTTTGGAAAAACAAACAGCAAGGTTACTGTTCAAACTTTTCCACAGCATTCACCACGACTCGAACACAATGTCAGTTCTAGTGTAAGTGGATTTTTCATTATTTAAAAATGTGTTTTTCTTGCTTCAAATTCCTTAATTTGAACGTAAGCATAAAAATGTTCCACAAAAATGCAAAGAAAATCTACTGCAAATCAAGCGAGATTCTTGAAATTAGGATTTTCGTAATCTGAGTGACTGGAAAGTCAGTCCAGTTTCTAAATCTACGTTCTGTGTAGCTCTCATGAACATCTAGCAATTATTCCTGTTGTATGTTGACAGGTTTTGTTTTTTTTTGTAAAAATAAAACAGAACAATTTATATCTACCAATGGATGTTGAAGGATTATAAATGGATATTTTCGCTAACTTTCTCATGAAAATTCTCATGAATTGCTATGAAAAATTGATTCTATTTTTACAAGTGTTTTAAGTCTGGCATCTTAAAAAAAGATGTGTCATAAAAAGCCACCCAGGACAATAAAAAGGGGATAAGAAATGCATGTGAAATTGTGAGAGTGATATTGATTTTCTTGTTTGTTCCATTTGCATTATTCTTTAGAATGCAACAATTTACTGTAAACACTCCTGCGGTTCCAGATGTTTATATTTACAAACATTTATAAATCTTGCTCATACTTCTGAGCAGTTGGTGAGAAAAAAATTCTTTTTAGCACTGCAGTATAACAAAGCAGTGCATGGCTGCAAAAACTGTTCATTTAGCTAAAAGTTTGACGTCTGTTTAAATTTTCCTAGCTTGAACCCCAATTCCCTATGCATTTTGAGCATACATGGACCAATGTAATACATATGTGGTACCAAGTATCAAAACAAGGTCTGCAATATGATTATGTGCTTACTTTTAAACATCAGCAACATGCTCCGCTGTTTTGTAAATGAAAAGAACAATGGCAGGTGCCTCCATGTTGACATGCATGGTAGCCATTTTTCGGGTAACAGCTTTTGTTCCACAGGGATACGTGAGTGGACCTCTTGTGCTATCTCTCCATAACAAAGATGGCTACCATGCACAGCCTCTATAAAGAGCAGTGTTACAATATTTTTTTAAACCATTCTTTGAGTCCCAATCAAATAATTTTTTTTTTTTGTTCTGTTTTTCCGCAAGGTTTACCCAGCGAAGTCAGCAGAACTCGGCAACATTTTCGCTAGCCTAAATAAACTTATTTCCAGTGTGAAATTTACAATGCAAAAAACTGAAACATATGAACACTGTATGATTTTGGAAGAAATTAAGTTCTATTTAGTCCACTCCATCCCATGAATCAATTTTTGTGAAGTTTCTGGGGAAGTCATCAGCTAAAATGATGCCCTGCTCTGAACTTGTGGCAAACTCTTCAATAAATCCAAACCAGTAGATGACTAGACCGGAGCCGAAGCGGTTCACATAGCTCCAGAACTGGTCCCTCATGTAGTTCTCGTGGCTGTGCTTGTCGCCAAAGGATGCTTTGCTCTCTATCCAATTGACAACACGTCCCCCAATGGCTATGGGGACCTGTAGCTTGACATCGGGCGTCTTGTCGTAGCCTTTCCTCCTCATCTCTTCTTCCCCGAGGAATGCGAGGCCATGTTCCTTCAGCGTCTTCTTGAGATGCACTTCTAGTTCCACCCCTATGGAGTGCTTGATGCTATCCACCAGGGGGCCGTAGCTGGAGTCCCACAGGACGCACTGCTGCACCTCCATTGAAAGCACAGGATCCTCGATCAAGTAGGGCTCCCTAAGCATCTTGGTCACTCGGGTCTTGGGCACGGCCACCCCATCTCCGGATGAGTGGAACAGGTGCCGCTCCAGGATGATGCGGGCCAGTAGGGCAGGGCTCAGGTCGATCTCGCGGGCAAGTCCCAACAGGACCGTTCCCTGTCTGCAGGAGCGGTCTGCGACCTGTTTCTGGTACCGGACGTAGTAGGCCTCCATGGCGGCCACCGAGCTGTGCCTGCCGTGCTGCTTCTTAGTTTTCACCTGGACCCGCTGCGAGTGGATGCTAATGAGGGTGTGGTATGACAGCGATGGGAATTGCTGCTGCACAAGCACCAGTGACTCCTTGGTTCCATCGCAGCACGCAGTCTCCAAGCATTCCACTATCTTCTTGTACTCAACAAGTTTCATCTTAATACTTGGTCGGTTTCCTAATTTTTCTTTGCGAGCACGTATCAATCACGTCGTCTCTGGGTCACCCTCTTCACGCTTGACTTGTCCTTCCTTCTCTTGCTTGTTTTTCCTGTTACTCTGGGTTCGTAGCTGCGCCTCCGCAATGTCCCCCAGTGCCTCCTGTATTCTGACCAGTAGGGCCTCACCTCTCTCTACCACCTCGGCAAGTTTAGAGGCAGCCTCTTGGTTCTCAGTCTCCAACTGCCTCAAGGAGGCTTGCTGTTAGGAGAAGATAAGGCCTGCTTATTGATGAAGTATGGAAGGGAAAAATATCAATTTGGGGCTCTCAGAAAAGAAATTTGGCATTACGAAATGCTACAGTCAGGAAAATTAAGGATCAAGTTGAAACTACATGTAAAATGAGTGACTTTATCCAAGACTTGAGGCAGCATTTGGACTTTGCACTATGGCCACAAAGAAAGGGCCGTTAATACAAAATTGCACACTTGTTTTCCTTGATCTCACCTGAAGTTCAGGCGTGGATTCTTCACTGGGCAAGGAGTCAATCAGGACATCGATGTCTTTGGCCGTGCGAGCGATGAGCTGGGCAAAGAGCTGGGTGTAGTCCTCCTGTGGCTGGGCTGGTTCTGGCTGTTGGATGACACCTTGCTTGTCAAAGCCAGGGAACTTCGCCGGAGTTGCACTTTGCTGGAGGACGCCGATGCTGTTACAAAAGTGCTCTGCAAGCTGTGACCAAATAGATTGGCACATTCATAAATTTGGTTTTTATTAATAACAGGACAGTCCTTTCATGTAAATTCCACACAGGTTTTGTTACTGCAAAATGACATCACAGGATGTGCTCTTTATTAGGCGTGGGCGACCAATGAATTTCAGTAGTCATGGCGACTATCAATAAATAGTCGCGACAAGTCGCAATTATTAGCAGTTTATTTATCCATTTAAACCATGTCTGTGGTTGCATAAAATAACACAGGGTTAATTTTGGACAATGTCATACTGTGCATTCAGCTTATTTCGTTAGGGTGGTTCGACTTTACACTTTCATGAATGAAATATGAGACTGTTTTTTAAGATAAAAACTTCATCAAAAACGCTGGTGACTTGTTTCTCTGCTTACTTACTACCAATTTTGGGAAGGAAACCTTGATCATTTTCCACAATGCAATCAACAACTTTTCTGGAGGTAAAAACACATGCTGTTAAATACATGTACATTCGCCAGTGTCCGACTGGTGCCAGACCTGCGACACAATGCTGTGATTGTCACAGTAGAGGACAGGGACCAGTTTATGGTCAGGCTGCGCTGAATCAGGCTGCAGGCTATTCCATGTTTTGAATTTGCACTGCTCTTACATGAAACAATACAGCCATGCAGCATAGCAAATTTGTGAGAAATTTTATAATCCAAATATTTGAATATTCCATCGAATTGAAGGTTGATTATTTGAATAGTGAATTATTCGAATTGACTCGGCCCTACGTCACTTTTGAGAGTCTCCATTTCATCAGCTTATGTCCAACTACTTTTCCTCTTTTAATGCTTCTCTGTTGTTAGTAGCCGATAAAAACTGAAACCTCTTGTTTGACAGACTAGTTTCATATGGGACACTGATTTATTTAACCACAGTATCATCACTTTCGTAGCATTTTACATGTACATATACACTACATGTATGCTGCAGCAGCACACATGGAATAGTCCGCCTAAGTGCAACCTCGACTGGGCTGCGTGCATGCTCCTTCACTAGCCCCTGGTCATGTAGAAAATGATGCTGACTGGCTATTCAGGATGAAACCAATTTCAATACGATAAACGTGAAGTCAATCATGTACATATTTCAACATTTAAATATCCAAAATACATGCAGTGGGATATATAAATTATACAATACCAGAGATTAGATTGTGCAAGGCATGGTGGGAACCAACCAACATGGCGCAGCAAGATCGTACCCATGGGAACGAGGTTGACCTGAATGTTAACCCTCCTTTAGTTTTACAGCACAAATATGCACAAGTGCCCAAGGTCACTCTCTTGCATGTTGGTGCAGTGCACAACATGACACAGCTGTGCTTCTTTGAGGTGTTTACCAAGTGACCCAAAGAGTGACTTCAGCATAGCAGGGTTAATTAATGAGTCTTCAACATGCATGATGCATGCGATAGTCAAGGTGTGTCCTGGATGGTCAGTCACCTTCACATGACTTGGAGACTTCCATTTTCTTCAAGGGGAGGGTGAAACACTATTGTTACATAAAAAGATGTCGAGACAGCCTATGACGAATAAAATATTTTTAGATCACTATGTGCAGAAGGTAATTGTTAATGTAAACAAAAGTTATTTTAACTTCACAAACGTTTATATATTAAAAAGGAAATAAAGAAACAATAAATGACCCCTATTTTGGTCAATGAATGGAACCAGGCACCGTACAGTTCTACAAATCAGCCTTTCGATGACGGAGGAATTATAGGGAATAGTCGGAATTACAAATCATAAAAATTAAACAGTAATTTGTATAATAAAATTTGCGACTAATACAGAAGACTCTATCACAGTGACACAGTGTGTACATTCGACATAAACCCTTTTTCGTTTAATAGACATGCATAAAAATACAACAATCCCAAAGCTTAAAAGCACAAATGCATGGCCCCACTCATGGATAATATCTTCAAGCAAGAAGGAATCATGTTCGCGCTCTGTGCAATCATGTCCAGATCGGACATGACTCATCGCGGCAGTGATGTACTGTACATGTACGTGTGCTGGCACTAGGCCCGCACAACTACTGTGACTTATCAACTATACCATCAAGAAAGGACACAAAACACTGGTGGTCGTGCACGACTATCAAGTTGTGCAGTGAGTGTGAGCAGTTGAGTGAAGCTCTGTGTACAAACTTTCCATGTACATGAGCTTGGTGCATTGTGCAGCTCCACTGCACACAACAGGTGATTGCTGTGTCACATGTGGCACGGTGTTTCTTTGTGGGGACTGGGTACTCCGCTAGTTGGTTTTTTTTTTGGTAGTTCTGGGCAGAGGGCACATATATAGCCGCGGGCGTGGGTTACAAGTTCCGACCACTAGTTGTAACACAGTCCGACTAGTCGCTGCATAACGACTAGTCATCTATCTGGAAATTGATAGTCATGACCACCAATACTTATGGTATTGGCAACTTGACTAATTGCCCGGGCCTACTCTTCATTGTAGGGTCTGCTCTTTTTACGTCATAGACCTTGTTGTGTTTTTCCTACAAGTGGCTGCTAAAACTATGATTGGCTGTCAGTACAAAAGTAAAAGAATAAATCACAGAATGTTCAAAATCCGCAGCACCTATCAAACCATCAGAAAATAATACACGTATAACTACATGTAACTACTGCATGGAAATAAAATCCTCTTTAACATTGATGGGACAATAAACAGTTTAAACAAAACTGGGGTACGTGTAAAATAAAAAAACAACCAAAGGGTGATTTTTCTGCAATTTTTAGCTGCTCATAGGTAAAAATGACAGTGGTCTATATCAACTCCTTTTTTTCATTTTGAATGACAATTTGACAATAGGCCTGGGCGGACATCCGGAACATTCGCAAATGGTGGGAAGTAACCACACCATACCGATGAAAACTGTGATGTGCACACATACCATGTACGTACTGATCAAAGAAAAGATTGAGTAGCCTGATCTTCCGACTGGCTGGTTCGCGCGCGTCGCCATAGTCGCAGTTGTTTTAATTGGAGCAGTCTGGTTACAACGTCCATGACCATATATATACACAATGTATTGCCACCTATAGTATTAGGCTATTGTCAAGTCTGATTGGTTTTCACAGTTGGGTTAAGTGGCAAAATAAGGGACCTGGCGACTAAACAGTCACGGACGTTAACTGTGTCAAGCCAAATTTTACAAAAATGAAAAAGAAGTTTGGAACCCAAAATAGTCTGGCCCCATCCTGTTTAATAGATTACATCGAATGTGATAGATTCAGGGTACAAGACAACAGTCAATGCGACCCCACAAGTCCGAAAATTGGGTCACGTCAAGAAGATAAGCGTCGTTTCTTTCTGCAGCAGATTTTAATAGTTTGTTGAATAAACAGGCTCATTATTAGCTGCACATCATTTTTGATCATCAAATTAACTCCAACCACATTTACATCCTCTGGTTGGTTCTAAGATCCCCTAAATTTTACCTGATTTACAGCATCTTGCAGTTGAGTGACCCTATCCGCCATGTTCTTCGAGACAATAAAGTGTCACAGCGCCCTCACTCGTTGAATAGGTATAAACGAAAGTGATCGAAGCATTAACAAACAAAGCCGATCTGAAGTTTCACAGGGAAGGTCTTATAAATATTGAGCCAAAGAGTAATAATTCAAAGTTTGTTTATGCAACTTGCAAAGTGGGACACAATGACGAATACCCCCACTTCAAAAATCGGGATATATAAGTTTCTCAGGTGTTCAAGCCATACGTCAAATTAAAGTTTTCTTAAATTCTTGTCCTTTTTCTTTTCAGTTTTGCTGGGTTAGACGTCGACTTTGAAAATACTTCATCCTTTATAAAGTTGTGAAGCCCATCACTATTTAAAAAACTGCCAGCTAGCTAATCATACACTCCATTGTGTGCAAGTAGCGCCATTTTGAGGGGGCTCTGCTTTGTCCAGATTTCTGAAAAAAAGAAAAAAGCTAGCAGTCCTGTTCGTGGTTTCCACTCTTCTGTTTAAAATGAGCTCTCCAGTCCACAGACCACAAAAATGCTCAAGTAACAGAGAATTTGAGGGAGTGCATCATTTGGTCTGCGCACGCAATTTGGGGTCTTTTAACTGCCCTGCAAACTGCATTATGTCTGTGGTTCGAACATTATTTAGACGGCAGTAAAAATGCAAAAGCCGGTGTGATGTGTCCTGACGGACATTCATTTGCCGGCTCAACTATAGATGCAGAAATGCTTTTCAAGCGTCTCTGCAACCCTTTTCACGGATGGGTGCTACCCGCATTTTTTTATCAGTGCCTGATTTTTTTCAAAGGTGGGGCTGTCATTTTGTCTGGAAGTGGAAACATCAGTTTGTCAAAATATCAATTTCTAAGCAATATTTGAATTTTTGCTGGAAATTGTTTAGATCAGCGGAATTTAACCGAATGCAAGAAATAAAAGTAAACACATACTACTAAAAAATTATTAAGGACCACTTTTTTCTTGTGATTTTGTTCCAAGCAAGGAGTGCAGTCTAGTTCTTTCATTTTTTTGGTTTGTCTAGATGGTGTTCTCATTGGAATAAATAATTTAATAAATGTTTCAAAACATCAAATGCACATTTTCAGCAGTAACATCTCGTATTTAAAAAAAGTATACACAAAATAAAAAATGGTCCTTAACTTTTTTTGAGTAGTGTATAAATGCAAAACACTAAAGGGATTGACAGAGTTATACTTTTCTTGGGTTCTAGTGAAGGTGGCAACTATTTCTGGAAATGCATTTAAAAATCTGTTGCAAATTAGCATCACAGCAGCGGGCATGACACAAGTGGAGATTTTTCTTTTCGTCCTATCACAAAATATCGGGGGGGGGGGGGGGAATGCCCGTGCCCCTTCCCGGGTGCCCCCCATTTGAAATCCATGAACAATGTCTGCTGCAGCTCACTGTCTTTTGGTGTCCCCCCAACAAAATAGCCCTTCTTAAGCTACTGTAACTGTTCAGGAGTCAAGAAAAGTGAGTAAAACCTAAAAGTAATGAAAACCTTCAAGTCTTATCAGTTAAGAGAAGTGTTTAACAGTTCCATAATATGGACAATCACGAATCGTGTTAAAAATATCTCTGCCCATCGAGGGGCTCTTTATTAAGATTTTCACTATTGACATCTGACCAAGCATTGTTGACCAAGCTCCACTGCCGTCCAAAAAATGGCATGATATCATACATAATTTACACTTCCAATCAAACAGTATGCTTCACAAAGTCACAAGCCCTACCCTAATACCGGTGATTCTTTTTACAGTTAATTTTAGAGGCTTTTTTTCTCTATAGGATAAAAAAGACAAAGTTGGAGGAATGCAATTAAAGATATTGAAGTAATGAACCGTTATTAATCCTTCCATTTTTCCCTCTGTACAATGTTAATTTATATTCACAATCTCTTTCATTACACCTGAGACTCCAACTAAAGAAATGAGAAAGAAAATAAAAAGAAGATGAATTCCTTAAATGAAAGTAAATTTGCGTTTTGAATTTGGTCAGTGTTTTCCACTCAAAATCAAATCCACCCATGAACAACCAGTGGAATTTTGTTGTCATAGTTTTCAAGATTTGTCCATTTTCTATCGACATATAGCACCCAAACACAGAGAGCCCAATTCATTCGCTCTCACCAAATAAGCTCAAAGTAAAACTGAACTATCTTCAAGGATGTGCAGTTGACCATCAAGACAGAATTAACGACAAAATGTTTCACGTGCGGCAAAGTATGTTTCTCATGACAATGACGAGCGGTGTTTCATTCAATATGCCCCATATCTTTGAGTGGTGAGTCCACCTTACGGCGACTGTTTGTAACTTTTCTGTGAGTGTGTCAGACCAATATTAAGTATTTTCTATAGGTGATAAGGCAACTGAGGTGTTGAAGTCACCTTCAGAGAATGTAAATGCAGGTATTTTAACAGCTTTTGGGGGTTTGCAATCAAATGTAAACGCTCTAGGCCATCATCCATTTAAACAGGGGCAAACTTGGATAGGATTGCAAACAGTCATTTCTTTCTTCTTTGGAAGTCCTTTTAATGGAGAAAAACTCTGTTAGTAAACATTAACACTTCACAAATCCAATTCAAGTTAAAGGAGAAAATTGACAAGATTTGAGGACACTTTGAAGACACACCCTCAATGTCAACCGCCAACCACACACAGAATTCAGTCAACAGTCACTACTGCCTTCAGGAAAAAAACAAAAAAAAAGAAGTGTTCGGAAGCATGTGCATGCCCAAGATGACATCCAGGAACCTGCACTGACTAACATGATATCAAGATATAATTTACTTGAAAATAAAATGTTCAGATTTATAAAAACCTGCTTTTTAAAATGAAGGTTTGGATATAACATCCTGCAAAAGCAAACAACAAAACTAGTAATTTGTTTGACACAAAATGACTTTACTATGACATGGTAAACCTGTTACAAAAGACTATGTGATTCAAATAACTAAGATGCTGCACTAGTGGGTGATAAATACCCCATTAGGCTAAACCAAGGCATTAAAAATGAAAGAAAATAACCGTCAAACAATAAAAGATTTTTAAATTTACACAAAAATACAATTTATCGACCACATAAAACCTTTTTAGTTGCAGTCTGCTGCATTCTGGTCCTACATTAAACTTGTGAAATGTATTACTTCCACTTTCAAAGGATTTACAAGATAAAAAAAAATGGACTCAAGGCAAACACTGCCTGAGATTCTAACTCAAAACTTTCAAAGGTTTAGACCAGCCCGAAGACTCAAAGCAATAAAAAATTCCTTTTATGTTGTCCTCTACAATTGTCATTACCATGGCAACCGATAGCAACTCAGTCTGTCATTGTCAAAGTTCTGATTACCCCAAAGAATGATATCATAGTACATTATATAAACATTATACAACATCAGTTATTGCATAGATCTTTTTCTGACTTTTGTTTTCACTTTTCTGCTTTTTCGGTGCGTAGATTATTATTTCAAAATCAGATCAGATGCGGTTGGCAACAATTAACTTGCACATTTCCAGAATGCCCTATAGTGATCCATCTGGAGTCATGAACTTCAGCGCCACGATCTGAAGATTTTCACAAGAGGGAGTTCTGAAAGCGACAAGTTGACATTTGTCAATGTGTGTCACTGTGCCGTAGTTTGAATGCAGCCCTTGGGTTTGTAACATTCTTTACAGATTGAAAATTGTACAGAAAGCTTATTTACATACAGAATTTACAATGAAATGAAACAACTCTCACATGTAAGAGGCTTTATCAAGCAGAATATTAAAAAACAACGATTCAACATGTATTAACAAAATAATGCAAGTCTGAAAATCACTATCAATCTCAAAGTTTTGATTTTTCAATCTCAATATCGCATTTGAAATACTCTGTCTTTGAATGTTTGTTATGTTGGAAGACGTGAATGCTTTTCCAAATAACACAAGACCGCTGGATTGACAATGATATCAGTATATGGGTGAAGCAAACAAGTTTCCTTGAAATGGAGGTAAAGTTTGGAACCACCCTGTGTTTCTTAAATGAGAGGCAACAGACTCAAATTTAACATTTTCAGCTTGTATGATGGCTCTCTTTATGCAACTTCTGTTGAAAGGGTTCAACAGGAAACACTCTCGGTCATTTGTAGTTGAAATCAATTAGATCCACGAGATAAAGGTGCAATGGCTGAGACAGAATTAAGGATTATCATGCACCACATACATTAGAATTGGAAAAACAACTGACTCTAGAAACCATCCCCTCTTTACACTGGAATATAAATACCACAATCAATCTGTTACAATCTAGATTAGAGTTAACCAAGTTCTGACCCCAAATTTCCAGGAAACTTCAAACACCTCAGGGATTCATGGCTCAACCGATCAACAATTCCAGTTCTCCTCCCTGTTGATTTGACGGATATTACCCGCCTCCAGTTTCTGCCACTGTCTTAAAATGTCTCAGTCTCTGCCAATCTTGTGGCTGGGATGTGGACGGAGGCCTGCATATTACAAGCAACAGCAGCGGGCTGGCCTCGTTGAAGATGACTCCTGTAGCTTTGGGCTTGTGGTCTCACTCCATGTTGCTTTAGCGAGAATGGGAAGAAAAAAAAGGAAAGATAGGGTGTAATTTTATCAGAGATGTGAGGATTGCTTGCTTGTCTCAAGAACCTTCTAAAGCATGGAAGTAGGGAGCTATTGTTTCTATTACACTGCTGCGCTCTGCCTATCTATATCCAGAACTCCCACCCCTGCAGCATGCAGTTCCCTGCATCCCTGCTCCCAAGCCCCCTGCTTACTTCCTTTCAATTCCAGTAGCAACTTCTCACGAAAAAACCACAGGAATTTGACAGCCTAAGCACAAGTGTTACTTCAACTTAAGCCCGCCCACCACCATGGCCAACTCCCAAAACTGCCCATACAAACAAACTACCCAAGACCACATCACACAATAAGAAAAAATACCAAAGAAGACCAAACAAAATCTCAATGCAAGGGTAACCCAGCCCATCTGAAAAAAAGTGAACTAACAAATCTCCACGCAAGGGTAACCCAGCCCATCAGAAAAAAAGAGAACTGTGGACTGCAGTAACATCTGCAGCAAACAATGAGGGTTATTATTGCAAGGAATTCCAAAGGAAAGCCAGTACTTCCGCCGGAGTCAATGAGGTATAACAAGAATTACAACAGTGAGGACATTGCCATTCATGGTTCACAGCAAGGAACATGGGCCCCCTATGAGAAGTTGGGACCCGCATGGAGGAAATATCTGTGAGGTGTATCTCAGTTTTTCCCAATTTGGTTTTTCTCTTAATTCAATCCCCCTTCCCTTCTACACATACAAAAAAAACACACAGAACAAACATACATCCGCAAATCTTATTGATAAATTTCCTGAAAAGTAGCTAGTCTCTTGAACAAGCCACAAAAGCCTTTCAATAAGGGTTAGCCTGCAAGTCCGACACGCCGTCCAATTTTCGCGATCCCCCCCATGAGCCTCTGCTTCCCCTGTTATGGCTAAAAGGCTCTAGATTTCCTTTCAACACTGCTGCTCAACTGTAAGGAGAAAAAAAAAGTCACCGGTAAGTTCTTAGAGGACCAAAATCTTTTCCCTTCCTTCAGCTCGATCAATGATCACAGGAAGCAACTAAGCAAACCGCAATGGAGCAAAGCCAAGCAGCTTACAATGACGACAATAGGGCCTGGAATGTACCGTCATGCCAGGCATTGTGGGGGCCCTTTGTCCCCCTGAATCAGCCTGATAACAATCACCACAGGCTCATCCTATTCTCTGTATTAACAAGGTCTCTCCCTGCCCCCCCCCAAGAAAACGACAGACAAGTCACAAGTAGCTGGGGAACAAATCAATCTGTTGCGCTGGGCTTGCTTTATGAAATCTTTTTGGCAAGCAGCCACAGAATTCTGCTGCCATTTTAAAGGTCTGTCGTTGCCACTATGATATGGATCATTTTATACTAGACCGCCAGAGTGCCAACCAGTCAACCCTAACTCTCCAGTCAATTTCATCAACAATCTGCAGAATATGTCTGAAAGTAGAGGAGAGTGGGGCACATTAAATGTTACCATACAAAGCAAGTACAAATGTCCCCCCACTTATGCTGGCAATCTATAAAAATCACCCGCTCTGCAATGACCCACTGGTAGTTTTGATTCTCCCACAAAATAACAGCCTTGAAGAAAATCACTGTTCAGATACAGAGGCGAAAAAGTTTATAATTCTTCAACCATACCTCGACAGTCTCCCTAGTCAACAAGATGCAACTTGACCATGTATTAACATTTTAAAAATGCCCACTGAGAAGCGATAATGCCCCCTGCATAAGTCACTCGCCGGCACCTGGACACGAGACAGTTTAATCAATCATGATTGGTCAAGAGTCAGTGTGCAAGTGACTCGCCACGCGTGCACCAAGTCCATATAAGGAGATTCTTTCGGACAACTATAAAATAAAATGGACAGAGGTGCTCGGGAAAATAAATGTAAAATTCTACAACAAAATTGTTCGAAATCCATCATATATTTACTTCTTTTTACTCTCTGACGTTTAAGCCCAGCTCAGGAGACTGAATACTGATATTGCCTTTGCCTGTGGCTCAGCATTAGTCACATCCATTCTCCTGAGCGGGTCTTAAGACTTAAATGCAGGTTTAAGACTGGCCAAGCACATATTTGTTCCCTAATCGGAGAATTTGTATCAACAGAAGCACAACACTGCACTGTGGGAAAAGGTTGACTATGAACGACTCAGTTATACATAGTGATCATATACACAGCTCATTCATCATATCCTCTCCATGCTTTCACATCCATTCTTGCAACTCCTCCTTCTTCATACAAAGAGGGATGCCGTGATCTTTCCAAAATTCTTCCATCAATCGGCTTGAGTTCAATCCAATCACTGGATGTCCATCTTCAAAGCTGGTAAGGAGTTGCATAATTATTGATGTCTGCCTTTAATAGAGCTGCAAATATCTGTTGACCTCCTCAGTGGATAAACAGATGTTTTACCATAATACCAACGTGCTCCTGATCCATGAAATGCTTTGATGAACGAGGGGTGGCGTTGAGATGAGGGGGGAGGAGGGGCGGGGAAGGGAGGGGACAGCCAAAGAAGAGAGCATGTAGGTATAGCTTACCTACCTCAGGATGTCATACTCCTGCTTCAGCAAGGCAATGTTGTCTTCCAACATGCTGTTTCTGGACTTCACGCTCTTCAGATCTTCCAAACACTGCCAGGAGAAATATATGCAACACACACTGCTCAGACTTTTGAAGATGAAACCAGCGTAAATTACGTGCATGTGGCTGCACACAATTTACCAAGAAACAGTGTCTAGTAAAAGGGGGTTCTTAACATACATGTAATGTACACAAGATGAGATGTGTCCTTTAATATGCTCAGTCCCACGAAATTGAAGAAGTAAACACTAAATGCACTCTCTATGATTTGAAATATCAATAACAGTTTGTTTACTTGAATGGGTGAAACCATTCCAGACAATTGATTTTTGAAAGTCTCGTGAAACATGAAATGCACTCATTACAAATTCATGGCCCCGCAACATTTTAAAATCTTCCATGATGCGGGGCAGGAAAAGGAAAATTTTCAAAAAATAATGCAAAAAGGAAGTAAAGATTACAAGCAATAAGGATCAGATGACAGTAAATCATTTTCTGACATCCAGACATGCAAAGTTTAAAGAGCATTTTTTGGTAAAAAAAAAAAAAACAGGGAGGGGGTGATGGCGGGCCTTGTGTCTGCACCCTGTTTTTTGCTGAGGGGGTTCATCAGCCACCATAAACACTGCCCTGAGGGGAGGATGGGAGGGGAAAGTAAAGTCAGGTTTACTCTCCCTGCATCAATCACTCGGCCTTGGAGGCTAATTTCACCTGACATGGATGAATGAGTTTGTACAGATGTCCTCCATTCACTGTGCACTGGTTGGGGACAGCTTAATTGTATTTACAGGCAACAATTACAGCTGGCCCTGCTCTGCAAATGAAACATTTCCATGGTCTATTTCCTCAAATTTCGGCCAGCTTTAATCTTGAGGGGGCTATGTGAAACGATGTAATTACTCGTCAATTTTTCCCCAGTTACTAATAATTGAATGTGATGCTTGAAACTAAAAAAAGATGGAGCTAGCGGTTGATTCTATTCCAAAACTGGAGAGCAAGATTAAAGTAAAATTTCAGCTATTGTCTATTAAAAACTAAAAAATATTCAATGTTTCCACATCCAAGTTACATGGCAAGCAGTATCTTTGTTTTCATGACAGCAACATTTCTGTCATTTGAAATGGAAACTTACACTTTTGCTCCGCTGTTGTTTTCCCACCATGTCCTTGATGAAGCTCTGAGCTGTAAGTCGAAAAAACAGTAAATTTGCCTTAATAAATGTGCACCACGAATTAAGTGTGATGGTGTGCATTTATGGGTCATACGGAAACCGCATACTTTGTCGATGAAAACACCGACACCAGGGCACCCTTACATGAAACCTAAACCTGAGGTTTCAAAGAAAAGGTAGACATAAACTGCTTCAAAATTTTACAATTTCCCAGCAAAAACCTTTTAAAACCCCTCCTTTTCCTTTGTCTTAAGAATTACTAAGTACACATAGTATACATGCGAGTGGTTTAATATGGGTAAACCGTTCTTCAATTTGAAACCAGTTCAACTTGACAATGCATAACACCAGAGAAAAACAGGTAAAAACTTGACAAAATGAATAACCTACACAAGCACTTCAATGTTAAATTATTTTTTGAAAGTGCCCACATGATTAGCTGTAAATTTCCTTTAGTCTTTGGTAATGTGCTTTCCCTCCCGATATTCTTCCAGTAGCCTTTGCTACTCAGTTCCATGTATCTCAACCCTAAAAATACTCCAGAGGCAAAAAAGCTATTAAAATGACAACTGTAAATTGCTCACAGAGAATAATGTTTTGAGACAGGAGGTGGGTACCATCGTACACCTCTCGAGGCCTTGCCTATCAGTGTACGATTTCCAGACATTAAATAGGAACGGTTGACTGGCAATTGTCAATTGGTAATATATTGAGAAGCACTGGGAAGCTGGGAAAGTCTGCCATTCCAGCCTGCTAGGCAACTGCCCTGTGCTCTGGTTGCACTGAAATGAGATCAGACAATTGAAGATCATTGCCAACAAAGAGCCAATAATGGTTTGGGGGGTGGGAGAGGAAAGTGTCTCCCATTGCCTCGTAACTGTCAATGCCATAAATTAATACTGAGAGATGGGATTAATTGGCGGCATAAATGACAGGCGTGAGACTCGCGTTGAGAATGTAGCTACAAGAGAGAGAAAAAATTAGGGTCCATACCTAACGGCATGGTGTAGCATTGCAGGACTTGATATCAACAAATTTCAGCGGGACGGGATCCAATTCAGGGGAAGAGCGAAATGTAAGTCATTCGAAAGCCTGTTGAAAAATGCTCAATTACTCTGCTGCCATTTTCTGTGATATTTTGTAGACATGTGGAAACAGTATCCGAACACTTTTTTTCTTTAGGATAGTCCTCGTCCACAAGCTCTTCCCCAAGACCACAACTTCCAGGACAAAAACAAGGAAATTCCAATCACTTAGGACCCATCGCATGTGGAAATTTTCAACTTCGGCTGCGGAAATTTGGAACAGCTCGCTGGATCACAGAGTTTGAGATGAATGAGAGAATGGCAGTGTCCCCTAAGCATCTGGGGCAGTCAGTTCTCTCGTTCATATTCATCATTATTTTCAAGATTTCAACAGTCAAAATTGAAATTTTCTACAAATGACAGTTCAAATTTTTTCATCTGAAAGAAAATCTCATGTCCCCCTTCCCCCAAGAAATGTGGTAGTACCATTACTGACATGCTGGCACTTTCAATTCCTAGAAGAAAAAAAACATTGACATGTTTCCAGGAGGGGTGCAACTTGCTCCCCCTGCCCCCATCACCACCTTGCTGGATAGCCACTGAAGAGAAGTCCACCTGGCAGTTTTCAGCTACCCTCAGGTCTGTATACTAAGCCCCTTCCTCTAAGTTGTTCCATCATTGCTCTAACTGAATGACAATGTGCATGTAACCTGCGACTTCGGGAACTCTGTGCTGACAATCTACCTCCAGCCTGAGCTGGCCCTCTTCCTTTTTTTCCCCATTTCTTTTCAACTACTGAAAAATTATGGTTACTCAGATGTTTTCATTTATCATACACACAGTTCTGCACATCTAGTCACAGACTCCTTTCTCCTGTTTCATCTGGGTTCCTTGACTACAATGGTAATGAGACATTCATGCATGCCACTGCTGCCTGACCTCTCATGACAGTCGGTCAGAGGTCATAACAGATTACAAACTACAAACAGGCTGTCACAACAGGTCACCTTACATTAACATTCATGCCTTACAAAGGGTACAACCTTTATCCTCTCAAAACTAAAAGACCAGAGAGACGGCAAGAAATGCGCACACAAATAAGAAAACACCGGGCGTGAAAATATGTTCACATTTAGCGTAATTGACCGAGCGGTTCTGGGGGGAAATTAGTGCCAATTTCACTTTCCTGAGTCTTGGGGGGCCTCAAATCAAAACCATACCCCCTTGAACATAAGCGACAGGCTTCGATTACTCCTGACACCCCCTCTGCTTATTTCTGCTTTCTTTTTTCCCTTTTTTTTTGAAGGGGGGGGGAGACTGGAAAGAGTAAGGGGATTTAGGGAAATACAGCTGTTTGCGGATAAAGGCAGGTTAGGCAAAACAATAATTGAGTTGGGCAAAGTTGAGTGACCAGTGGACTAGGTGGAATTGGCAATGCTGGAAGTGAACTGTTGGATCCCCACCCTGCACCCGCTTCCTACACCATCAATCATGGGATTTGGGGAGGGGAGACCTCATTGTCAAGACGGCTAAACCCTTAGGTACACCCCGCTGTCGGATGATGTGTCCATCTAAATTTATTCTCCACGGCCAATGGACTAATTTGTTCATTGATTAATGAAACGGAATTGGCTGGTTATTTAACTTGACTGTATGGTAATTGCTGAGAATTTGTTTTTTGCTGATTTAATGAATTGCTTGTTTGGAGTTGATTAATTGATTACTTGGTTCAATAATCAATCAACTAATTCTTATTATTGATCAGTTACTGATGCCTTTTATCATTTTTTTTTTACCAAGTATAATGAAGCGAAAATAAATAACACCATGGAATCGATTTGGGGTCTCAGAAAACAATTACCAAATTCACAATTGCAAAATTTTCTACCAAAGACCCTTTTCAAGATTTCACAGTTAATTTGTTCAGTGTGGGTATACACGTATATATTAACGAAAGGTGTTAATCTGAATGATACAAGATGTCTAAAACAATGCTCCTGGGTGGAATCCCTGTCCCCATTCCTGATGAGCCTGAACAGGCCAGTGATTTCAGTGATGAAAAGCATAGCACACATTTTGACCTCAGTGAAGGAGACCAGAAAATCCAGAATGGAAAGAAGGACTTGAGAGGCATGCCTAGCTCATAAACAAATCTGGGGCAAAGCGGCTAATTCCCAAACACCTTGTAACACAAGATCCTAGACCACAGAATAATGTCTACTGACCCAGCAATGGATAATTACATAAACACATCCATTCATCCACCAAGGAGGGTGATGAATCGGGCTAAAATTCCAAATTTTCCAAGCCGACCAATAGAGTTTATATTTCTCCAAATTGTAGGGTCACATTTTCCCAAGCCAATCAGTTAGATCTCTTTGGCACACACAAATATGTTGGAAGTAAAAGATATACTCACACCATTTATTATGATAAATGATGATGATGATAAAATATCCACCCAGTATGGGTATCGTAAAGATAGGAGGCTAACCCATTCTGTGATGACTTCACAAAATGCCATTTTCTTCCTTTATGCAATCAGCCGGCAAGCGCAAATATGCACAACAATGGTTTTTAGTTTGCTTCTCTGATATACATGATTATATCACCTGTATTTTTCCAGTGAAAGGTGGAAGCGTTTGACATGACTCTGGTTCAACCACTTTTTTCAAAATCACTCTTCTGAAATGAATCCTTTGAAAGTCTGTTGAAAAGCACGTTCAGCCTTTATTTCTCAGGAACCAAATGTACCACAGCAGTCTAAAGCAAATCAAATGAATAATTTCACACTTCTTAATAAAATGATCAACATCATGGGGGGGTGGTTGAACAGTACAGTGCTAGCCTTTGATCACAAGGTGATTAACCAAACATTTGTTCCCAAACTATGACCCAAAAGAGGAACTGTGTTGACAGCTCAACCGCCCTCATTACATCCTCTTTAGGAATTGTATTTGCTTGTAATCACTTGAAGAGATGAGGTGAATATGCATATTTAGGACTATCTGAGACAAGATTCCCCACTAAAGTCAGTGGAATCTCTGGCTCCAAAAAAAATTGCACTTACCCTTGACAGTCTATGCACACTTGATTACCCACAGTGCGTGAAGTTAGTTTTTCAGAGGAGAATAAAAAAGAAGAGGTAGGGATTAAAAGTCAGCACGAAGTGGGCCAAGGCGATGACAAGATCCACCCGGCCAAACTGTTAACTGAAAAAAGTGCAAGTTTTTACACGTCATTATTGGATGGTGGTGTCCTTTTTCCAACAGGGTCGGGATTAGATCAATTCCCCAGGGGAGGTGGGATGACGCCCTGCAGTCTGTGAGGTGTCCCCTCCCATTATAGCCGAGAGCAGTGGGGGGCCCTTATCAATGCTTAATTCCATATTATCGTGATCAGGTTTCACAATTTTCACAGTTTCCTGCTGTATCATCCATGGACTTGAGACGCATATAAGTGTGTATTTGGGGGCTAATTTTCAGTGTTATTCGATGGTAATAAGAACGGAATGCTGATAAGGACTGGCGGAAACTAGTTGTAATAACTGGCTTGCATATTAAATGCTTGTCATCATGATGATGCATACAGGAAACTTGATGTATGAGGACTACGACACCCCTCCTGTGGGCATTGGCAGGGGAGGCACTCTCCCCACCCCAACCCAAAAATGAAAAATTAAAGGGGGGGAAGAAAAACCAAACAAAGATGAAAGAAGAAAAAGAATAAGAATCAAAAAATTTATTTGAAAATATCTCAAAAGTAACCCCTTTCTAGCATTATTGGTTTGTCCGTTTCGCTGCTCATGAGTACTTTGCTCCCCGCTCTCCCCCTCTCCCCCCAGACAAATCCTGCCGATGCCCATACAGCCCCTCCCTCCTTTTCCAATGTTCAATGTAATGCTGAAGACAGGACTTTTGCACAAGGGAACACATGGAGTACCAAGATCCTGTGGAGGGGTACAGGCCCATGTATAATTCCCACTA